ACTTTTCTTAAGGATTGATACTTGATTAATGGATTGAATGAATTTTTTTGGTTATGTTCATTAACTTTTGTTGATTGTGATACTTGATTAAACCGATTTGCATGGATTATGGGGGTGTCCTTAATTCTCTTTATTCTTTGCGCCATCTGAAGAAAAGACGGATGTCACCGATGCGAAGGATAATGAGGAAAACAATCTCTTGTAGAATGAGGTACTTAACTACTTTAGTTGTTATGTTGGTTAGTTCGTTTTGGCTGTGTTTGTATGGTTGTTTGTTGTTTGCTTTGCTCATTATTTTTGTATGAGCTAGTATATTGTTTAGTTTAAATTGGTTGAATATTTGTTAGCTGATTTGGATATTATGGTGGCTTGATTGAGGGGACTGATCCAGCTCCCAAAATATATCACTCCCTCCAGTCCAATTTCTATTGTAAAGTATATTTGCACGATTTTTTAGTTGATTGTCTTTTTGTTATAAATTGACAAATTTGTCCTTAATGTTATGGTAGAAATTAAAAGTAATAAATGAATGAATGGTAAAAATGTAAAATTTATGTTTAAAAAGAAATAGAACAATATTTGTTTGACGACCCAAATAGGAAAGTAGGATATTAATTTGTGGACGGGAGGGAGTATTCCTTTTTAGTGTAAAAAATAATAAAATTATTTATCTTTTATTATTTTGCCCCTTCCCTCGTAGTTTTTTATTTTATATACTAAAAAATAATAAAATTTTTGTAATGTCGTTGATTTACACTTTTTTAGATTTTAATTTTTTAAATTTTTTTTAGTAAAAAAATATTGAATTTTATGTAATTTTGTTAAATTGTTCTCTAAACATTTGGATTTGTTTGCCCAATTTTTTTTCGATACGATTTTCAATATATACATTTTATTTTATTTTTATAAAAATTAACATTCAACACAAAATCTATCTTTTTTTATTATAGACACAATATTCTATATTTCACGTGAAAAGATTTCAAATCAAAACACTAAATTAATATTTACCCATTTTTTCCCCTTATTTTATTCATCCAATTGCGCATGGACAAATCGAAAAGACAACATTGAATCGATAAAAACGAATTGATATTTTGCCTCCAAGGAATTTTACAGCTGATTTCATCACTGTATGTAAGCTTGCTCCTTAATTTGTTATAGCTAGGATCAAAATAGTGTAGAGGTCAACATCTCATTCCCTAAGTTGTTAGGGAAAATTAACCAACAAAGAAGAGATTCATGGCATAAAAAAGATTTTGGTCGATGTTGTCTAAAAGTTAGTCGGTTGATTGCAACAAACAAGCCTATCGAAATCTTCTTAAGGAGGGATATGCGTAGACCTAATGATTGAGATCAAAATTACAGGGTTGGTGAACACATGACACGACATATTCGAATTCAAGTTTAGGACAAAATTAAGATTTTGTGGTGAGGATCTATGCCAAAATTCTCATGGCTAGTTCCCCACAGCTCAACAAACCCATTCACATACAAACATCTAGATGATTGTGAATGGTTTAAAATTTTTGAGAATCTTGTTTACATTTTTCATGTATGTATTTGGAAAAAAAATAGAATGCAAGTGTGAGACCCATGAGGTGAGTGACTATATCTTTATGGGAAAAATATTAGAGAAGAAAATCTATCGTCGGAAAGATTCATCTGATCCAAAAGCGGGCCAAAACGATCATTTAATTACATCATCCGATCCTTGAATTTATTGCCTAAAGAAATGCAATGCTTATAGGAGAAAGATTGTTTCAAGGATGAGAATAAAATAAAAATTCATTTCACTCAACCATCTGAGTTGGTGACTCAAGAAATCGGAGTTGAAGCTTAGTTAGACATCCTTTGAGGAGGAGTTTACAATATATTTGTTGTCTTGTGTTAGCCATTGTAAAACTTGATTTGGGGTGTAACTTGGCGTAAATTTTTATTGAATTTTTAACCATCAAGCCTGAGTTGAAACCCCAGATGTAGGTCTTGGTGTGATTGAACTGGGCAAACAAATTCTTATATTTTTCACTGCCTAGTCATCTATGTGTGCTTACCGGAGATTTATTCGACATAAAGATTAATTTTAAGGCGACAAAAATTTTGATTTACAATCATAATAGTTTTATAAAAACAAAAAAGGGTATGAAATCATAATGTGGTGTCCCTTCAAATGAGCAAAGGGAGTAAGTATTACATATTTATTGTTAAGGTTCATAGTATGTCTATTCCAGACATGAGTGAACCCAACTCCATTCATTAATTTCCATGTACTTTTGCATGGCCATATATATATATATATCAACACTGAGGGCAGCCTACCTACCTACTACTTTTGATGAATTCATATTATATATATATATATATCATAGCCTTGGTGGTGAAGATAATGGTGTGCATGTGCCTAAGGAAAAACTATACATAGCTGCTTTCTTCTTTTTTAGAAGACAAATTGTTAAGAAATGTTGATGTTTGTTGGTGGTTTAATTTGTGCCACAAACATGTATTTATATATATATAAACTAATAGGCTTTTCCAACATACTAGGGACTCGATAGCTCTGCATGATGATGATTATATATATATATATATATGCTGTTAATAAATTATTAATTTAATTGGCATTAAGTCATTCTTTGGGTTGGATCCAACTTAAATCTGTCACTGTCTTCTTCTTCTTCTTCTTTCTTTGATCCTCTAAAAGGGCTATTCTGCTGCACTATTTTAAAATGCTTCTGTATTCGAACAAATCAAGACCAGATTCTCATTCCAGCATATATACACATATATATATATATATTTAGAGAGAGAGCGAGAGAGAGAGATATGCACCTGAGATAGTGAGAAATCTATAATGATTGAGTAACATGTGAGAGACCAAATGATTAGAGGAAAGTGATTCTGCAATTTGATGCTTTAATTTTGCAATATTTAATATGTGCTGTGGCTCCTAAAGCCAAACAAACATTTCTTTGCTTTCCTGAAAGGCTTGTGGGATACATTTTAGGTCATTATAGAATAGATTAATTGTTATGTCATTATATATTATATACATTTTAGGTCATTTCTATCTTTAAACCTAATACCTTGCAAATCAAGTCCGACGGGAAAGTCAGACTAGACGAACCATGTGTGGCAGGTGACCTGAGGTGTCGGGGTTTGAATCCATGACCTCACGGTCACAAGTCCAACCCCTACACTATCAGACTATATCTTACGGGACAATATTAATTGTATTGTATGTAACTCACACATATGTTTATAAGTGAGACAGGGCATATTTGACGCCAAATGATAATATAATATATAATACATATTTTCATATATGATATGATATATTTACATATATAGCATATTATTTTATTGATTTCAATTCAATAAAAATTTATATAAGACAATATAATAAATAATTTATACAATACATACTTCTATATAATTATATTATATAAAAATATGCTTCTTATATATGTGTGCTGGTGAAGTAAAATCAGTATGAAACTGCTCGTTATACAAAAATAATTTAATTTCTACGACACCGAATAATAGTGAACTACTAGGGGTAGAATTTGAATTGTGTTTATTTATATTTTGTGTTTGAATTTATGTTTTAACTGTGGTCTTGGGTAATATTTTGAAAGAAAAGAACATTTATATTTATCCATAGAATCATATGATTATATTGTTAAAAGAAAACTAAAGAAAAATAAATATATTTGCATCTAGTATAGTATATAGTATATTCATGCGTTATCTATTTCCAAAATGCTTATACATTTTTTTTTTAAAAATTATTATAAAGATTTATAGATATATAAATATATCATATAATATATATATATATATTTAAATAGCGATATATCATATACTTTCTCTGCTTGTTTCTAAGGGTTCCATTTATCTTTTTGCGTCATTATACTTGATATTAACAATATCCTTATATAATTTTTGTACAAATATCATTATATTAGTATTATAAGATACTAATAGAAATATTTTTGTCATTTTCTCTTGATTTGTATTAAGTTTTGATATAACAATTAATATTGAAAGATTAACATGTAAAAAGTAAATGCAGCCCTTAGAGACGGACGGAGAAAATACTACTCCCTCCGTTCTAGAACTATAGCCTGGGTTGGATTTGTTACGAGATTTAAAGAATATTGATATTATATTGGTAATGGGTAAAAAGTACGAGTAAAAGATTTTTTTACCTTTGTGAGTGTACTAGTGTAAAAAGTACTGACAATTGTGTAATAATAATGAAAAAGTAAAGGTAATTTTATAGCGATATGATTATTTATAAAAATGAGACTATTGTTTTGGAACGGACAAAAATGATAAACAAGACTATTGTATTGGGACGAGAGAGTATTTTTTACTAATATAAATTATAAAATAATAATTTTATGAATTTAACTTGAAATAATATATGTACATAGAGCTGTTATCCTAGTTGAGTGAGCTCTATTCGATTTATTTGTAAAGATAAAGGAGTCTTGAACTTAAAATTTCATAAAAAATTTTAATGTGAGGCTGTGTATATTACTCCCCATTTTTTTTTTTTTTTTAAATTATGTTAGATGTATGCAAAATTTATATATAGTTTATTTATACTAAATAATTTATCCATTCATAATTTTATTAATTTAATTTTAATAAATAATAATTTCGTCATTATTTTTTTATTTATCACGTTATTATTATTATATTTTTTATGCAACTCTTTAATAAATTTATATAATATATTCTCCCTCCGTCCGCTTTTAAAGGTCACATTTACCTTTTGCGTAATTGTATTTAACATTAAAAATATTCTTATATTGTATAAGATACCAATGAAAATATTTTTGTAATTTTTTTCTTAATTTGTACTACGTTTTAATATAATAATTAATATTAAAAGATTAACACGCAAAAAGTAAATAAGACTCATTGAACTCGACGTACATACGCGTGTGTATATATATATATATATATCCTCAAAATGAATGAAGAAAGCAGCATTATATCAAAACCACATTAATTCGAACAACAAACGATCGTCATCTACTAATATCTGGACGACCCTTATATTGTTGTGTACACAATATATATATATATATATATATGCTTACATTGAATCATCATCACTCTTAATTTAAATCATCTTAAATAATTAGGTAATAAATATATCCAAAATGACAATATCATCCAACAGTCCTAAGCATGGTGAGATCTCCCGTTCGATTATCACGGCATGAGGTTTCCCGAAAACGTGTCGAGAAAATTGATCCAGTTATCACTATCTTCGTCGTACTCCTCGCCGCCTGTATGATCCCATTGACTTTGATCCGGAATCTTCTCCACCTCGTCATTTCTTGCGAATCTTCCCCGGATACGTGGCCGGCTGTCCGCTAGAGTTTTCCGGCATTCGTACTGTTCAAACATGCGTAAAATTATACAAATCATATTGTTTAGATAAAATTTTTAGAGATTTCTAAAGTTTTGAAAATTTAAAAATAATACAAAGTAAATTTTCTAATGTGATATTTTTTAGAAAAAATAAATATGTTTAATGTGATATTATTTTTTTTTTTTTAAAAAAAATTGAAAATGTTTGCATATGGAGAGTTACCTAACTCTTTTACTTCACTTCTTATCACTTTATTCTTTTATTTGAATTATGCTTAAAAATATTTATATTACACGAGAAAAAAATAATGTGACCTCTATCATTTTTGATCTAATAATAATAATAATAATATTATTATTATTCTAGAAAAGCCATTTTAGCATAAAAGACATTGACCAATTTATGTTAGTTTTAGTACATTGGTGTTTTTTTTTTATTTTTTTTTATTTTTAATAATAAGTTTAATACTTTGATACTAACTTGGCACGATATGATTTACAAAATAATGACTCTTATAAAATAGTGATGTTGATGTGAACAATTTCTAGAAATCGATCAAGTTAACATACACTATATTTGTGTGCATACTTTCGTAATTTTGCAAATTAATTTAGTTTTAAGATAGATCAAAATAAAAAAATTTACTGATGTGACAAATATATATATATATATATATAAATTTTGTACATAGTAATTATAGTGATAGATTGGATGAGAACCTTGATTTTCTTGTTGAAATTCCTAAGGTTCCTCTTATTCCTGTAACGTTCGATTCTTTCTTTCTTTTCTTCGGGGCTGTAGGGGCTTGCTCGGCTCATGCTCTCCAATATGCTCATCTCGTTCGCCAACGGGCTGTTGGATCGTTGCTGCCCGGAGTTGGTCCCCTGTTCATCCAGATTTGCAATTTTAATCTTGCATGAATGTTTCTTAGAATACGTATGATATTTTATAAAAATAATAATTTATTTTTATAAATAATAAAAAAATGTGTAAATTAAATTTGTCTGTTTTTTTTAAATATTTATTTTTATTCATAATAATTATTGTACATATTTTTTAATTTATATTTTTTTAATATTATACTTATTTACAAATATATCTTCATTATTTACGCATTTAATTTATCCAAAATATCTCTCACCACTTCAACTCATTTATAACACTCCCTCCGCCCCTTATTGTTTAGCGAAAGTGTTTAAAGATTTTGACATTTTGTTATTTGATTTTATGTATAAAGTAATTATATTTGTAATAATACGTTTGTAATTTAAAAAAAATTTAAAGGTATTTTAATATTAGCTTACAAAAACAAAAACAAAAAAAAAATGATAAAAAATATTTTGAATTGAAACCGATAAGTACTTTTTTTTCCCAAAATACTTATAATTTATATAAAAATTAACTAATACTATAATACTCCCTCCGTTCCAAATATAGTGTAACATTTGTTTCCGGCACGACACGATAATTTAGGTGGATAATATTGAATAGAATAGTTTGAGGATTAAGTGATACAAAGAGAGAGAAAAATGTATATTTATTTGAATGATTCGATACGATAAAGTGCAACATAAAAATTAAATATATTTAATTATTTTTTATTTTAAAAATATGAGTGGATGTTTGAAACAAATTAAAAAGAGAAATGTTACAGTGCGTTTGCACGACGGAGGGAGAGAGTATTAATTTTTATTAAAAGTCGCCAAAACTATTTATATAAAAAATCAAAAATCAAAACTATATTTAGAATGAGATGTACCTGCAAGTCGCCGGTGCTCATGGCCTTCCGGACGGAGCTGCTGGCCTCCGATTCAAAATAGCCGCCGGCGCCGGGCGGCGACGGCGACGCAGTCATGGGGGAGTATAATTCCGACGTGGTCTTATGGAGGGACTGGGTGCTGAAGGACCCGTAGCTGCTGCTGCTGGCGTACCCGAAATCGCCGCCGGACTGCATTATTAGCGCCGCCGGAATGGCGACGGCCGGAGTACAGAACGGCGCCATATTCGGGAAGTCGGCGCCGGACACGTCATCAACATCGTCGTTGTAATTAGGGGGTGGAACGTAGCTGTTGTTATGTCCGAACATGGCTACTGCTGCCTGCAAATTTTAATTTGACTAATCGACTCACTGACTGACTGACTGACGGAAAATGTCGAAAGTATATATGATGTGATGATGATAATGAATTAATTAATTAAACTGGAGAAAGGAGGGGTGGGGGGCACCCTATATATACTTTAAAGGAAAGGAGTCCATACAGAGTAACAGTAACGGAATCAGCCCTAAAATTTAGAGGCCAAAATGTTAATTTATTTTTTTTATTATTTAATATTATATATTTTTTATTTCTTCAAATGCAATAAAATAAATAAAAGGAAAAAAATAGCTAAAATATATTTAAATTTTTTTTAATAAACTTCAATAATTTCTATTTTAAAAAAAAAATTAAAATCTAAAAGTATAAACAAAAAAAACTACAAAAAAATTTATTATTTTTTACACTATAATATTAAAAAAAATTGAAAAATAGAGAAAAAAAAAATAATAAAAAAATACATAAATTTATTATTTTTTACACTACAAAAAATTCCTATATTATTGACCCCTAACCTCTACGTAGTTCCTGGGCGGACAAAAAAAACACAACACTCGAAACTGGATGGTGACATGGATGATGACGTCATCTTCCCGGGGGAGTTGACCTCCAAATGTGCTGATTAATTATTTTCTTGGCCTTGGGATCGATCTGAGGCCTACCTGCACTGCACTGCACTATCATCGAAGACGGAACTACGTAGGGCTAACGGTAGTTGACCCAAAAATTCCTAATATATAAATTTTTTTTTTATATAAAAAATAATAAAATTATGTATTTTGTTTTATTATTTTGTCTCTCTATTTTTTAATTTTTTTTATACTATAGTGTAAAATTTAATAAGATTTTTATAATTTTATTGATTTATACTTTTATATTTTAATTTTTTTTAATAGAAATGATTGAATTTTATTAAATTTTCTTAAATATGTTTTTAAAAATTTAATTTTATCTATTTTTTCACTTTTTTTTATTTATTCAGTTGTATTGGGAGAAATTGAAAAAATAATATTAAATAAAAATACATAAATTGACATTTTGCCCTCTAAATTTTAGAGCCGGTTCTGTCACTTAATCGTCGACGAACTTTAATTTCTTGGATCGGTAATGGGGTTGGGATATACTTTGCATCAAGGAGTAACTTCAGGACAGTGTCAGACAAAACACGAGGAGGCAGGCAGACATGCAATATATATATATATATATATATATAGCTAATTAGAAGAAAATTAAGGTGTGTTTGTAGGAAGAATTTGTGTGAATTTATACTATTCAAACAAATTTTTTTTTTTTTCAAAAAATATTAAATCAAAGACTTATTTTTCATTTTTTATATTATACATACTAAAAATCAATTTTATATTCAAAACATTACATCAATACATATTTATATTATCGTACAACTATTTAAATTCAAACTTTTTACTTTTTCAAATCTCCATCCAAAATCCAAAATCCAAAATCCAATCTCCCAAACAAAAACAAGGGTCAACTGAAGTAAAACTCTTGATTAACCTCAATCCCATTTTTATTACAAGGGTTTACTTTTTTGTTTCCTCCACTTCAACTTTTCCTATATTTGGGCAAAAGGGTTTTTACATCAAATCTCATACAGACACACACTCTCACTCTACCCCTCTCTCTCTCTCTATACATACATATATATATATATATGTATGGTTGAGTAGTTGGTTGACTATAACGGAAGGAACAGCTAAGAGGCAATTTGGGCAGCCCACTTTTGTTGTTATAATTATTATTTGGGATTTTCTGTCAATGTTCAAATCAAACAACAGGTAAGAGTCAAATTTCTTTGTGTGATTAATTTTCTTACTTCCCACACTAAATAAATAAATAAATAAATGGATGTTAATAAAGGGGGTTTCTTCAAGTCAATTTTTTGCTTCAATAATGCAGCTTTGAACGTTTTACACTCATGTTAGGTTTACTCGTGAATAGAGACCATAAGGATCGATATGTATGGGTAAAAATATCTTTTGATTTACATATTCAAATAAAATATTCTCTCCATCGAATACAAAAATATTTAAGGAATACAAAAATAAATTTTATAACGTATATAACAAGATCTCATCATAAAAAAATAAATTTTTTACACTCTCTATTGATCCAAATCAAAGGAAGAAATATACTAGGAAAAATAATTTTATGAAACGAAATTAACAATATGTTGAATCCCAACATGTTGTAATTGAGGTAACATTCAAGAAAATTCGAATTCCGGTAAGTTTTCAAATAGAAATTAATTGTAAGATGATTTTATTTCGCATCATATCTCAATACTTCCAACATATTCAAAAGAAATAGATAGAATTTTTATATAAGCAATACAACATATAAATATTGTAGTTTGCATAATAGTGAAATAATTCTTGAATCATTTATTTTTGCGAAAATTCATAATATATTGTGATTGTTTCAAAATAATTTTTGCCAACGTATATTGAACAACTTTGCAACTATCAAAATCCAGTGAAAGAAAATATATTATTGGATCATTTTTAAAATATCTTTCTTTTTTCTTTTTCAAAAAGAGACTTCATAAATATTTTCTTCAAAACTTAAGTTACTTAAAACATAGTAATTTTGTTTGGTGAGTTTGTTGGAAAGAAATTTTTTTATGTGAGGTATATGAAATTGTGTAGGGAATATAAAAATAATGAATTTGTGTAGTGATTAATTTTTTTTGAGAAAATGTGTAGAGAAAAAAATAAAAAAGAATAGTCTAATTTAATTTGATTATCTAGCATCAATTTATATTAAAATTTTAGAAAATATTGATATGTGATTAAAAATTCAATATTTTTTGGCCCTTAATTCAAAGGAAACCTAATTAACTACACTAAAATTATGAAGAGTTTGGATCATGTGTTGATTTTATTAATTTATTCAGCATATGCTGAATTAATCTTAATCATTTAACAATTTTAATTAATTAAATATAGTTAATCTATTTACTTATTAACAGTTGTGACTGCTTTCGGTATGACTGAATTTGAGATTTCAGCATTGTATCCCGCGTGAATTATGATTGGTTATCAAATCTATCTATTTTCTCAAGATTTTAAATTTAGTAAATCGAATAAAATAATTATACGGCTTATAGGTACAAAAAAAAATAAAAAAAATAAAAGTGATAGACTATATCATGTGCATGACGATTGACATTATTTTAGAATATTTTGTAAAACATATTATTTACCTGAAAACAACATATTGTATAACAATGGTTATCATTTAATTCTATACATAATCACGATTAGACGGATGCCTTTTTCAAGCCAAGATGATGCGCATATATCCTAATAATACAACACACTTTTCAAAGGGTGTTGCTACACCAATGTATGTTGCTATAATTAGAAAAAGGCATGAGACGCATATGAGGTCTCCCGCTAGATTAAAGTTGTAGTTCAATCAAAAATCTTAAAAATAGATTGTCACTGAATATGTGAAATCACAATCATGATATGCATCCTCATTCCTGCAAGAACAAACTCATTTCAAATAGGTCCAACGATGAGGCCCAAATGTTGATAGCTATAACTAATAAAGAGATAGAACTTTCTTTAAGATCATCTTATGATATAATGATGATAGCGGCGGACAACAAAGAAATACTCTAATTTTTGAAAGTCAAGCATAACAATCACATTTAAGAAAAAGAAGAGAAGTTTAAATCTAAAGTGTGGAAAGATTGTGTGCTATATTGGAGTATCTAAGCCATAAACCATTGTAAAATTTATTTTTCTACAAGGTTCAAGTCGACAAGGAAGATAAGATAGATTTTGGTCAAATGCTAAAATGAGGTCTAACTACGTTGTTTACAGGGACTCAATTATATTTAATACTACCTATTAAATAAACAAAAATCGTAAAACCCTGGTGAGTATTATCATCATATGGTTAGTCTATTACATCATATACGTATGCTATCACTATCATATAAGTAATATCAATACGACATCGTATATTGTGTCACATTGTTCTAATTGTATCATTTTCTTAAATAAATTGAAGGGATGTTCGTAGGATTTAACAACCACAGCCCGACATATTTCTTTGGTTTAATTTTGTTGTATAATGACACAAAAGAATCTTTCAAATGGTTGTTTAATACATTCCTAAAGTGCATATCTAAAGGGAATGAAAAACAATTTTCACCCATCAAGACCTGGTAATGGCTCCTGCCATCAGAGAGACAATGTCAAATGCATTTCATGCCCTCCGCACCTAACATATTTTGTAAACTGTAACTATTTTTTCAATTTATTATATACATCACGTACAATGTGATTCTATATGACAGTATGTAATATTAACATATGTTGTCTTAAATATTGAATAATATTGTTTATTTATGTAATTTTGTTGAATCGTTTCAAAAATTGTTCTACAGTGTTCGAGATAAAAATCATTTCAACTTGGAGTTACAAGTCATGTTGCAAATGTATTTTCTAGACGAGGCCTGTCGCATAAATAGATTGATGGAATACATTTATTGAGATGTCAATGGTCTTTGGCATGGACGAAGAGACAATCTATTGTTAGTATGTGCAACACACAACTCAGAAAGTCATTGAATTCAAAAATGAAAAGGTTCTATTAATATGTTGTTAACATTATAATGAGAGACTTTCATACGAATACATTTGTGATGTGTTCGTAATAATGAGATGATGTAAACCTAAAATTATGTAGGTTTTTGCTATCAGACAATAACATTGTTAAGTTATTCGGTCATTTCGAGAGGGTGTTGCAGTCTAAAAGAGATATAGACGAGCAAGAGGACTTTTACATACAGGAACACCATTTTGCAGCCGTTTAATCTAATCTTGGAATCTACATCTTTAATGTATAGATTAATTCTTTTGAAGGACAAATCAGGTATATGATTTGTTTAATCTATCTTTTTCAACATTCCTTGTTCAATTTATTTAATGTTTGCATTATAATTGGTAATGATATTTTATAATAAATAAATATTACAAACAAAATAACTCAAAGGCAAAACTTCAAATAAATAAATAAATAAATAAAA